CTCTACCCTCATAGTGCAAGGCATAGATTTATTGAGTACCAGCCATATAAATATGTTGATTGTATGTTTACCTTTCCTCTCCAGTGGGAATCCTTCTCAATAAGCATTTATTGAGCATGTACTCTGGAACACGAGTTGTTGGGACAACAGAAATGAGAAGGACATGGTGCATGTAGTCACAAGACTCGGTGGAAGAGATTATAGAATCAACATAGATGTCTGAACAAAGAGAGTATTGAGGGAAAAGCCTTTTTAAACTGGTCCTAGATGGATTGAATGAGATTTCGCCAGGTTGAAAAGAGGATTGAGGGAGAGGGCTGGGTGGGATTCCAGATAGAGTATCTGGCCTGAGCAAAGGCATAGAAGAATAAAAGTACATGGCCTATATGGAGTATAACAAATTTGTGGCAGTAGACAAGTCTCTCTTGGTAGATAGGATTTGACACATCCTTGAATGTCATGAAAATAAATTTAAACTTGACCCTATAGGCAGTGGGGAACCAGCTTATGATTTTAAGCAAGAAAGCGACATAAGGCTCTGAAAGTGCCTTTAAGCTGAAAGCATCAGCTGTGTAACACAAATATCAACCAAAACATTTTCCCTTGATCACTCTCCTCCATAGGCCTCCATTATATGACAAGCACTATATGTATATCCACCATTTGGGATAATAAATCCAATCTCCTTACTTTGTTCCTGGGCTACCCTAAATTCTAACTGATCTCAGGCTTGTGGCCATCTAGAGTTGTTGTTGTTGTTGTTGTTGTTGTTGTTGTCGTTGTTGTCGTTGTTGTTTGGTCCATCAGAGGTTTGATTTATTCCAGATATGCCATTCTCTGGATCGACATGTGATAGTGAAGACCCAAAGTGTTGTGGTGAGAGAACTAGGCTTAGAGTTCAACTAGATGTGGATTCAAATCTCAGCTTTAAAGAACTTTAAATTATTTCTTCATTTTTCTGCTGCTTTAACTTTTCCTCTTGAACTTCTTAATATCAAAATAAAACCAAAGACTACCAGAATGGTTTATCCATGAACAAATATCACTTTCAAATTTACTGATTGTATTTATTTCCTTTGTTGAATTCCCATTTATAGCATCTGCTTTGCTTGATTTGCTTGCTGCTTCTAATTTTCTTTTCTTGACCCTTTATTTCTATGTACTTATTAAGGAAGCACTTTATAACCCAAACAGTAAACCAGATACCTGCTCCAGGAAATGTTTGGAATGAAGTAGCTCAATTTAGCTGAATTGTTCTGTGTCAGTGGGTTACAGGAAGGAGTTTGTAAAGTCCCTATGGGGAAACTGGTAAGTTTTCCAGCTTCTCCTTTGTTGAATTTTCATCTTGTACCGTCATTATTTTGTTTTAATGAATTCCTAGAACAATAGTTACACCCATCTGAAAATATGACTACAGAACATATCCCAAAGCCAAACATAAATTATTTTTGCACTCCCCATACATTTTAATTCTATCGTTTGTGTGGCTAATGTAGAGTTGTTGGAATTCTGTATTTTAAACCATTTCCTGAATGAAACATGTAAACAGTGGAGAGAAAGGGAAAGGATTCTGCTTCATTTTGCAAATTGTCTTGCTTTCTTTCAGTGCTAGTCACTGTGTAGAATTCATGGGCACTTAATAAATTTAAACAAAAAGAAAACCTCTCGAATTGTACTACCCTGTTAGTCTTAGTTCTCATCAGCTAAAATGGTTCTTATTTTCAGCTAAGATTTCCAGAAACCTTGAATATCTACTTTAACATTAATTTCATAGGATCATTGAATGAGGTAAATCCCAGAGTTAGACAAATATTAGCTGCAAATATTGACTCTGATGCCACCTGAATTTTAAAAGTAAAGTTGATGTGGAGGGTGAGCGTCCAGGAACAGTCCTTGTTTGAATTTTATTATTTCTGTTTAAGTTAATGTTATTTCTTTTGTTGTTGTTGTTCATTTTCATCCTATTGAGTTTAAAGTAGTAACAGAATTGTCAAATGGAGTTCTTAGGAATTCAGGACTGGAGGTTGAGGTAGAGATGAGAGCTAGAGACAGTAGATTTCCTTAAAGGATAAAATTAAGTACAGTAGTTCCCCCTTTATTCACAGTTTCGCTTTCCATGTTTTAATTACCCACAGTCGACTGTGGTTCAGAAATGTTAGATGGAAAATTCCAGAAATAAAAAATTCATAAGTTTTAAATTGTACACCATTCTGTGTGCCATGATGAAATCTCACAAAGTCCTGCTCTGTCTCACCCAAGATGTGAATCATCCCTTTGTCTAGTGTATCCATACTGTATATGCTACCCACTGTTAGTCACTTAGTGGCTATCTCAGTTACCAGCTATATTATCAGAGAGAGACTGCATTCACATAACTTTTATTATAGGAAATTGTTATAATTATTCCATTTTATTATTTTTAATTTCTTACTGTGCTTCTTTTATAAATTAAACTTTATTTATAGGTATGTATGTACAGGGATAAAACCGTATATGTAGGGTTTGGTACTAATCATGGTTTCAGGAATCCCCTGGGAGTCTTGGGATTTATTCTCCATGGATAAGGTGGGGACTTTTGTAAACCAGAAGGCAGGGAAGGAGCTGTTATCTCAGATCCAGAGCAAAGTAGAGGGGCTGTTTTTTCTTAAAGAGGGAAAACACATCTTCCTGGATGACAGGAAGGAAGACAGAGAGATTCAGGGTTTCCTATCTGTTGTTAGTAATAGGAAAAAACTGCTAAGGAACCTAGGTCAGGTTCCCTAGAAGTGGCAATTGAGACAGGGAATTTGTATAAGTGCATTGCTTCAGGAGTTCTTGGAAAAGAAGAGTGAAGGAAGCAAGATAGAGCTGGGGGAAGAGTCCCTCGAGGATGAAGGGTTGGGGAGCAGTGAAGGAGTTTGGCTAAGACCACAAAGCATGGATTCTTAGTGTCCTAGGACTCATTTGATCTACATAGCAAGGTTAGAGTTTTGTAGCTAAGGACATGGTTTTATGATCAGTAATTTTGTACATTATTAGTACCTTTGGATAAATGACCCTACTCTATGTGACCATATGTCACATCAGCATGGTAATCTTCCTGGGGAACCTATTGTTTAATTAACATCTGCACAGAGTTCAAGTTACTTGTGCATATTAAGGAAAGATATTGAGAATGCCTTTCTATTTATATTCATCCTTATCCATAAGTGACCAGCAGGTTTTCCTTAGAATATCTGTTCTCTTGGTTTCAACCATCACCTTGAGCTGATAACTCCCAAATCTTTGTCTCCCAAACTTCATCTCATCTGGCTTACCCAGCATCATTTTTTGTATCTGTCTAACTATTCCACAATGATTTATACATAGTAGGTGGTTCATAAATATCATTCACACGTCAGTCAGTCTGGTCTCTTTATTATAAGTGAGGTATTGTGAAATTGAACACATGATTTGGAGCTTAACTTTTATTTGACACTAACTGAGCAAGTTACTTAGCCTCTCTGAGCTTTAGTTTCCTCATCTGCACTAGGAGTGATAATGCCATAGCATAGGAACGTTGGAAAAATTAAGTGAAAGAGTTCACTTTTAAGCATATAGTCCAGTGCCTGAAAACTGATAAGTATCTGGTAAAAGTTGTTTTTTTTTTTCTCTTTTATGGTCAATGTTTAAAATATTTATCCACTATGATTCCAATTTTTCAGGCCTATTGCTTAATTTAACCTATTTGGTTTTTACCACATTCATCACACATAATTCTGGTAACCTAGAATAAGTAGTTTCTTTAAAAAGTCGGAATACCTCAAAAGGAATATTGTTTGCCTAACCTAATAGAATTTTGCTGACTATGATTCTGAATCAAGATTTCATAAAAAAAAAAAATGGGAAGGCAAGGTAGATAATGTAAAGTTGGCTATAATGCTGTTTTTACACTTGATCTTAGCCAAAAGGCCAAGAATCGATATATAATGCTGTTTTCTTAAAAAACAAAATACTAAGTTTTTTTTTCCTGAAATATAAAGCTCTTTTTAATTAAAGTATAGTTGACTGTACTAAGATTTTTTTTTCTGAGTAGAATTTATATGTGAAGATTCACACTTGGGATATAAAAAATGTTTCATCTTTAATATTAAATTCTTGAGCAGAGAACAACATTGAATGGAACAGTATGCCTTTTCCTCCCAGTATTTCTGTGCATCTATATTGTGTTAGGAGCTCTGGGAGACTCAGGCATAAAGAAATGTTTCTCCCAAATGGTTAGCACATTTCTTGATAATTATGAGTAGTTTTTCTTTTTTATTTCAGTTGATTACTTATGAACTACTATGAGTTTTGTACACATGTCCTCATATGGTTTGTTTGTTTGCATGGTTCTCAAAAAATTGCTCTCAACTATATGGTAAGAGTAGAGGTACATTATTACATCTGGAGGGTAACTGAATATACTAAGTAGTTTGCATGTCTATATTATCAAAGTAAGAGTATGAAAGAAGACATAAGAATAAATGGTAACTTAAAAGGTGAAAACTACCCAAATGTCCATCAACTGATGAATGGATAAGCAAACTGTGGTATATCCATAAAATGGGTATTATTCAATTCTAAAAAGGAGCGAAGTACTGATACATGCTATAATGTGGATAAGTCTTGAAAACATTATGAGAAGTGGAAGAAGCCAGACACAAAAGACCATATATTATATGATTACATTTGTATGACATCCAGAACCAGCCAATCATAGAAACAGAATGGGAATTGAGGTTATAAAGGGTTGAGGGGAGGATGAAGAGTTATATTTACTGGGTACAGAGTTTCTGTTTGGGATGATGAAAAATTTCTGGTAATGGATAGTGACGATTGCACAATATCATAAATGTATTTAATGCTGCTGAATTGTCTAGTTTAAAATGGGTCAAATGGTAAATTTTATGTTATGTGTATTTACCACAATTTAAAAAACAGTAAATGGTAAGGGTTTTGGAGGTCATTATAATAAGCCTCCTGTTTTCCTTTCTGCACAGGAGCCATGGACAACAGAGGCTTTCAGCAGGGGAGTTTCAATAGCTTTCAGAATAGCTCCAGTGATGAAGACTTGATGGACATACCAGGGACAGCTATGGATTTCTCCATGAGTGATGATGTTCCTCCGTTAGATGGAGAAATAGAAGGTATCATTATTGCTAATGACAATTTATCTTTTAAAAAAGGATTTTTAATGTACATATAGTTAAATTAATTAATTTTCTGGTACACAGTCCTGTGAATTTTATCACATGCATAGATTCTTGTATCCACCACCACTGACAGGATACAGAATAGTTCAATACTCAAAAGAATCCCCTCTTGCTATCTCTTTGCAGTCAGACCTCCCTACCCCCAACACCTGATAACCAGTGATCTATTCTCTGTCCCTATAGTTTTTCCTTTTCAAGAATGTCATATAAAAATGTAGTTGCATAATATGTTACCTTTTGAAACCGACTTCATATACTTAGCTTAATGCTTTGGAAATTCACCCAAGTTATTCATTCCTTTTTCTTGCTGAGTAGTATACCATGGAGTGGGGTTGCTGGATCTTGTGGTAAATGTATGTTGAATTTTATAAGAAACTGCCAAACCATCTTCCAGACTGGCTGTACCATTTTGCATCTGAACTAGCTATGTATGATAGTTCTACTTGTTCCACATCCTCGACAGCTCTTGGTATGTTCCATAATTTTTTATTTTAGCCATTCTAATAGGTATGTAGTGTTATCACATCATAGTTTTAATTTCCCTAATGGCTTATCATGTTTTATGTGCTTATTTGCCAGTCTTACATACTCTTTGATGAAGTGTCTGTTTAAATTCTTTCTCTTTTTTATAATTGTTTTTTTGTTTTTAGTATGTGGAATACATTTATAAAATGAGAATTCCTCTCATCTAGTATTTGACTATCCAGTAACATCATACTTTTCAATAGCTGCATACAATTTCATAGTATAGCTGTATTATTAAATAGTAGTTTATTTAGCCAAGCTTCTATTGATGCACGTTTCAGTGGTCTCCAGTCTTTTGCTATTATAAACAGTGCTGCAATGAATAACCTTGTGTGTGCGTATGTGTATGTACATAGATATCTTTTAAGTATGTGAAAGCATTTCTGTACCGTGAGTGTATAAGACTGCTTATTTCTCCACAGCCTTGCTGGTGTTGAATATTATAATTTGTTTTTCATCTTTACAATATGATAAGTAAAATAGATAAAGAAATACATTCCCATTGTTTTAAATTTTACTTTTTTAAATTAATGAAATCGAACATTTTTTCATATGTTTACTAACCATTTAAATTTCTTTTTCTGAAAGTTTCCTGTTCATATAATAGGATTAATCTTTTGTCTAACATAGGTTAAATATGTTTTTTCCATTTCTGGTTTGCCTTTGTTAACTTTGTTTTTCAATCTACAAATATCTAAAAAATATCATAAACTAGGTATATCGCCCTTTTCTTTTGTGACTTCCGAGTTTCTTGTAATTAGAAAGGACTGCATCACTTTAAGATTAAATTTGTATAATTACTTTAAACTGGTTCTTTAACTAATTGAGATTGCCATTCTCAGAGTAAAGTCAGAGGACCAGAAACTACTGTCAGAATTCAGTATTTAGCAAATTTGTATTAAGGACATATAACATTGCAGATACTTTGCTAGGTTCTGGGAATTAGCAAGGCTTTAAGGCACCATCCCTGCCTTCACGAAGTTGATTCTAGCTAGCTAAATAGACACCTAAGGACTTTTGATAGTACCTATCTCTTAAAGTCATTTTCAGGATTAAATGGGGTAATAACATATAAAAGTGCTTATATCTGTACCTGGCATCAAGTTAATGCTCAATAAAAAGTTATTATCATTATTATTATTTCTATTATAACCCTGTATTTTAAGTGCTATAACTCTTACAAGAACTTAGCAGAAGAAGCATTCTGTCTGTGCGTGTGTGTGTGTGTGTGGGATTGAAAAAGATTTCATGTATTTGAGAAGGGCCTTGAAAGATTAGTTATTTGATAGGGAGAAGAGGATTCCAGGTAGAAAGCAAGCTTTTACAGAGATATCAACAGTCATAATATACAGAGTTGCAAAGGCAGAATATGAGCCCATGTAAGTAAGTTGGGGCCTTCATTCTCACACTAAGAAGTTTGGATTAACTTTATTGTCACTGTGAGGACAAATTTCTTTACCCATTCATTTAACAAATATTTTTTGAGCATCTGTATGACCCAGGCACTATTGCCGGCACTGGGATACAGTAGTGGAATTAATTTAGATAAGATCCAAGATGACCTGGAATTTAAATCTAGTTGGGTAAATGAATAAACAGATTACCTAGTTAATTACCCATTGCGATAAATACTAGGATAGAAATAAACAATGGTAATAGAAGGTAACTGGGGCTTAACATTAGTTAGAAAGGTCAGGGAAGGCCTCTCTAAGGAGGTGACCAACTTGGGATAAACACACTAGTATGAAAATTGCAGGTTCAAAAGGATATCAAGAAATTTGCCTAGTAAAGGTATCTCAGGAAAGTGACAGTAGAAGAGTGTCCTTGTATTTGAAATTCACAAAAGGAAGGTACTCACTGTTTGGTATTTACTGGTTTGCCATATTTGCCTACTTCTATAAAAGGGACATGTGTTTGTGTATCACTTCCACTTATGTATAGGTATAACCATAGTGAGTCAGTTATATCAATTACTTGCTCTAGAGAAGTGGTCATTTAGAACTTGAACTGGCTACCTCTCCCAAACCAGAGTGGTTTAGCTTAGTTATCATCATTGCTTGTAATAGAAAATGATTTCATATAGCATTCAGATTTCTAAAGTACTTTGTGTGTTCACATTGCTCTCAGTAGGTGATTGGGACAAGTGAGTATCCGTTATTCCCATTTAATAGACTAGAAAACTAAGACAGACAAGATTTTGACATTGCCTATGATTGTAGAGTATGTTTTTACATGAGAAGTCCTTCACTTTTAAATAGCCTTTACAGGAGAATGACTGCTTGTGGTTTACAAGTTCTGACCATAAAATAATAAAAGGCTGTTTTCCATGAGCTACACATGAAAATCAGTCATTACACTCTGTAGCAATGCATTTTCTTGCTTTGCTTTTTAATTGTTCTTACTTTAACGTTTTCACATGGAACTTCCTAATAAAAACAACAAAAAAGGTCATAAAGTCCTATATATTTGGTGGTGAAACTGTGCATAATTGTACCAGGCACAATAGCATGTAGTAAAAAGATTAGTTAAAAGGAACTTGAAAGGCAATAGAGTGGTTCTTGTTTTCCAGATGGCTAGAAGGATTGATTTATGAAGAATGAATAAATAAAATATGCATGGCACAGTTAAATGCATTTGAGATAGTGTTATAATAGTCTGTAAATTAGAGGAAACATAAACATGGAGATCTGAAAGAAGGGGATAGGGAAGAAAATAGAAAGAGTTTGAGTAACGGGAAAAAATTCAGAGTTATTCTCATAGGCCATCTGTTCTCACTTGCCTGCCTCTGCAGCCTAGACCTCATGGTCAACAATTCATTCATTTATCCATTCACTCATTCAATATTTATGAAGCACCTAGATTTGAACCGATCACTGTGCTGTCTTAGTAATGCTCTTTGAGTCCCTTCTTCTCCTCACCTGCTTGTATTTCTACCTACCATGCCTTACTGCTACTCTCTAACTGTTGAATGAGGAGACATTCCTGGCAGAGAGCAACAGAGGTAAAGGCACAGCAGCATGAGTCTTTTCTATTCAAGAAACAGAATCTATGTGTCAGAATTCTGAGGCTCCAAAGGTGGGACTGGTAGCAGTTGGAGCTGGAGGGAGGGGAGCAGGGAATAAGGTGAGAGATCTAGTTAGAAATCTAGGTGGGTCCAGATTGTTTTTGCCTTTGAACCTTATCTTATAATGATTTAAAAACAGGAATGTTATGATTGAATTTGCGTTTTAGAGAATTTATGGCAGTGTGGAGGATGGATTCACGGGAAGGGTAGGTTAGAGAATGGAAGACCAGTTAAACTGTTATTTTTTAAAAATCTAGGTGAAAGATCAAAAGCCCTGAATTAAGACAACAGGAATGAAGAGGAAGGACTAAGTTCTAGAGAAATTTCAGAGGGAGTATTGATAGGACTAATTAGATATAGGGAATAAACTAGAAGAGAGTCATGGGTGACTTCAAAGTTCAGGCAGGTCATGGCCCCCTAGCATGTGACAATGGGCTTGGGCTACCCCT